AGAGTGGGTGAATGAATTAACAGACAAATTTCCACAGCCCTATAAATACATTTTCTCAACTACTTTGCATGGGTAGCTGTTTCCTTATCCCAACTGGATTGCACATGAGTTCAAGAACCAGTCTCTCCTTTCCTCCGGCCCCCATTATGGTATGGAGCAGACCGATAACACAAGCAGGTGCTCAAACGCTGTGGTTGACTATGGACGCTCCCCCTTCAGCTGCTGTGGCAGATCCCAGGCAGCATGCCCAAAATGGCTGGAGCTGGAACAGGTACCCGGTCCACAGCCTCACATAAGTTATTTTTCTTCCAACTCCATGTCAATTACACAGAGAGGCTGAGAGACTTGCCTGGGGGGGTCACATAGCATCTGGTGGCAGGGTTGCTGTGTCTCCTAGATCACCTGGGCTGTGCTCTTGTGTCTGTAACACCCCTAGTTCTATATAAATTCACAGTATGAGACAATGGGAAAAGAGAAAAGTTTTAAGTAAAATGTTTAATCATGATCCAAGAGGCTAAGGGGACTTTGGGACAGTAGCAGGAAGAAAGCAAGGCCTATATGCTCCAGCTTGTGATGCTCAAATGTTCTGTAGGATCCCTGGGAAGGCAGTAGGTTCCCATCCCCCATTCAGAGGAGGAGACAAGGGGCCAAGAGTCTTGCTCCAGCTTTCCTCACCATGAGGAATGTCTTTCTAGGTTGCTTCAGAACACCCAGCCCTGCCTACCTGGAGAATGCAAGAGAGCGTGACTGATTTGTTAGAGCCTGGGTGATGCCGGTGGGCAGAAGAAAGGGGTAAGGAGAGAGCCTGGTAGAGCTGGACATCACCAGAAGATATGGCTAAAGTCCTAAGGAGGGGAAGCCTGAGTCGGAAGTGAAGGGAATGACCCTGGCGGTCCAGTGGTTAGGACTCCGAGCTTTCACTGCCAAGGGACCAGTTCAATCCCTGGTCAGGGAACTAAGATCCCAAAAGCCAAGCGGCACGGCCAAAAACAACAACAACAACAACAACAACACAAAACAAAAAAAGAAGTGAAGGGAATGAGAACTAGGCTAGTCAGCTTCTACTGTGGCCTAATCTGGAGTCAACTGGAGGTGTGGGGTGACATCAGGGTTGCCATGTTGTATACCAAAGCTCCTTCCTGATGCTGTCCTTTCCTCAACCCTTGCAGGCTGCAGGTCAGCTGGGTGTGGTAAAGGGGAAGAGGGCCCCCAGGGAAGTCCAGCTACCAGAGGCTCAGGAGCAGAATCAAGGTAAGTGTACTGGAGAAAAGAGAGGGCACCCAGGGCTGTGGCCTCAGAGCAGGGTTTTTGTTCTGTGGAAAAAATAAAATGGAGTCAGCTCCATCCTTTTCACCACCTTAGCCTCAGTCAAGGCCTGTCCTCCTCCCCTGAGGTGTCTGCTAGAGGTCTAAAGTAGTCATGACCACAAGGAGTTCACCCCCCCCATCCAATCTCTTGCCTGCCTTGTCTGGGTTTCCCCCAGCTGGTCCAGTAAAGGTAAGAGGGGTGTAACAGAAGAGGCTCTACCTGGCGTTCCATCATGGAAAAGGTAGAGGCTGTCCAGTCCTGGGAGAAGAGCTGGCTGTGAAAACGCATCTTAGCTGCAATGGCCTCCACTGAGGAGAGGAGAGAAGGAAGACTGAAAGCAGGCAGATGCTGGAGATCTCTCAGGCTCCCGAAGAAGGAAAGGGAATGTCTCAGGGACCCTGGGATATGCAAGGGTAGGTGGGTGGCAGCTGGGAATGGGATATTATCTCATTCTGCTTGCTATTCCTTGAGCTGAAGAGTGTCCCTAGGGCCCAGGCAAGTGAAGAGGCAGCTTGGCTGGGGATGGGGGTGGGTCTCTAATAGAATGGGAGAAGGCAGAAAGGCTCAGGTTGGGGAGATGTAAGCCTGTGCTGAGGAGGGGGCTGCTCCGTCTGCAGGAGATGGATGGAACCAGTGGACCACAGAGCGGACCCCTTCCCTCTCCCTGGGTCAAGCTGAGCCAGCCACAGGGGCTGGGAGCAGGTGGAGAGCACTCACTGAGGCAGGGGTTTCGGGAGAAGCACTCTTCCAGCCGCTCACACTCCTCCTGCAGATTGCCACTGCCTCGGCAGGTGCAGCTTAAGGCAACACTGGCATTGACGTTGCTGACAAAGTTGGGAGTCATGGCAGTCCCTATGGGGTGAAAAGAAGATTGTCAGTGCCTAAGCCAACCCTACCTTCAGCTCCCATCCTCTCCTACCTGTCTCAGGACCACTCCATGGGGGTTCAGTCTCCAGAGCATTTTTACCCGCCCCAGGCTGGCCAACCTGTAGGCTTCCTAAACATGCCCCCCAGCCTCACCAATCAGCCCCATGTATGCTCGCAGACATTTGGACTGCTCTGTTGCACAGGTCCCTAGGATGTCCATGGGATGGCAGTGGGTCTGAAAATCCGCCAGGCGCGATCTGGAAGAAGGGAAATTTTAAGAGTCCCTGTTGATGGTCTGGCCTGCAGCCTTCACCTTGCCACAGTGTCACCTTGCTACCCCTTTAGTTGAGATGCCCATCTTCATGCCAAATTCGCCTCTGCCTTTTTCAGAGCCTGGCCCATGGCATCCTCCTCAGTGAAGCCTGCTCCTGTCACAATTAAATGCACCATCACCCCAGCCTTCACAGCATATCACTCTGAATTTGGGCTCCACAATCCCTAATTATGAGATCTCAGGCAGTTTCTTTAGTTTCAATTTCCTTGACAGTAAATAGAGATGAAAATAACACTACCTTGAGGATTTTTGTGAGGATGAAGTAAGAGAAGACATGTATAGCATTTAACACAGTGCCTGGTATACAGTGAGTGTTCAGTAAATGTTAGATATTATTATTTTTAACACTCATCCTACAATAGGTAAAGCTGGTTATCTTCAGGGGATGGAATGATGAGTATATTTTTCTGTGTATATTTGTGCACTTTTCCTTACATTTTGCTTTGTGTTAGATTGGTGGTTTACTTATCTGTCATCCCCACTCAGTTGCAAACTCCTTGAAGGAAGGGACAGTATCTTAGTCATCTAGCCCAGCACTTGTTATGTAACAGTAATAGTAATATTGGGCTGGCCAAAAAGTTCGTTCGGGTTCTTCCATTAAAAACACAAACAAACTTTTTGGCCAACCGATAGCTCCCAGCATAATAACAGGCAGCATAACAGAGCCTCTAGGAGCACAGGCTCTAGGCCAGACTACCTATGAAGGAAATCCAAACCTCATTAACAAACCTGACTTACTACCTAGGTGAATTTGAGCAAGTTATTTAAACTTCTCTGCTGTGGTTTCTTCATTTGTAAACTGAGGATGATAAAAAAAAATAGTAATAATAGCAACTATCTTATAGGGTTCTTGTGAAGCTTATATAAATTAATAGATGTTAAGTACTTAAAATAGTACTTAGCCCATAGTAAGTAAGTACTCAGTAAGTGTTAGTATTATGATTTTTGAGAGACCCATGTAATATCTTACAGAAGAGGAAGTGGGACTCAGAGAGGTAAAGTAACTTGCCCAAGGTTATACAGAGAAGTAAGCGGTAGAACCAGGTTGCAAATCAAGGTTGGTGTCTGATTTTGTTTACCTGGAGAGAAAAAAGACTGGAAGGAAATGCTCCCCAAATTATGGTAGAGTACCTCCAGGTGACAGGTTTTGAGTGATATTTTAACACAGTTTTATAGTTCCTAAAGTTTTTACACTCTCTCTATATAATTTTATTTTATTATATTTTATTTTTTTATAAAAAGAGTTTCAGAAAGTATCCAGGGTAGCTACATGGTAAAGTCGGTTCACGGTGCCTTGCGGGGGTGGGGGGGTGGGGAGGGTGGTTCAGACCCAGCCCTGCCCAGGAAGGAGGCGCCGAAGGAGTGGTGTCCACCCCGTCTGCCCGCACCCAGCACCTGCACAGCGGGTCGGCCACGCATATGTGCCACAGCTCCAGGCAGTTGGGGGCCTCCGATGGCAGTGAGCAGCTGGGGGCGATGGTGTTGCGCCGGCGCTGCCCGCAACCCTGGTCGGTGGGCGCGCACGGGCACAGCAGCAGGCCCTGAGCGTGGGGCTCCGACGCCTTCTCGAAGAAGGAGCGCAGCTGCCTTTGGCAAGTGTGGCGCTGGCAGCGGGACCCGGAGCACGCCTCCCCGTACGCCTTGCGCAGCCGGTCACACTTGTCATTAAGAGTGCACAGCATGGCGAACTTGAGGCAGAGGTCCGAGTCTGGGGGAAGAGGGGCACCAAGTAAGCAGTCCTCTCTGCAGACGTGCAGCCCAGCCTCCCCAGGAATCCCGGCAACCCTCTGATTTCACAAGGACGGTAGTGGGAAGGCACTGCACCGAATAAGGCCTTTCCCTCTACCCACAAACAGTATCAGGTATTCGTGAGCCTCTCCCATCCTGCTCCTCAGCTTGCCTAGGTTTAAAAAAAAAAAAAAAAAGCCATATACATCTAACCAAACCCTTTCCTCAACCCTATGCAATGAGTGAGATCCCATGGTGGAAATTGTAACCAAGAGGACCTACAACATTCTAAAGTACTTTCTGGGGAATTCCCTGGCAGTCAGTGGTTAGGACTCCCCACTTTCACTTCTGAGGGGTTGCATCCCTGGTAGGGGAACTAGGATCCTGCAATCCTCCTGGCGCAGAAAAGTACTTTCTGGATTGTCCACAGCAGATGCAACCAAATTATATTTAGGATTTTGGTTCTGCATCTGTCTTTCTGCCCATCTTTCATTGATTGATGCATGCATAAAACCCCCCATACTCTGAGTCTTGGGAAATTATGGTGATATTTCTATTAACAGAATATTCCAGCAGTCAGAACAATGGAATAACTGGAATAGGTGATTCCCTGTAACCTAGAGTTTGTAATACATAAATCTCTATGCTTTTCTCTCAAAATTCTAATACACAGTACTGACTGTACAACAAAGCTCACATCTTTCTCAAAAAGAGAGTGCATGTGTGTGTTCCTTTCCAATTAATACAACAGCCTCACTTTCCTGAAAAACATGCATCATATTAGTCCTTGCCAGACAGATGGCTCCCCACCCTGAGTCACCCCTGAGGAGTCACGCTCTCTCTCACCATTTTCCCTGCCCAACACCTCGCCCATCCCATTAGAATGGTTGAAAACAAGCAATTTCCTAGTCTTCAGGGACAAAAAGCTACTTTCCTGGCTGCCTCGAATTAGGGTAAATACTCCATTTCAGCACTTTTTTTTCTGGGACTGCTGCCACTCCCACCAAAGCCTTTGTAGAGATCTACCTTTTGGAACCAGGGAGCTGTAATGGGCTCTCTTGGAATATCTCCCTAGTAACTATTGCTTTGTGTTGACTCGTGAGACTAGATCATGCGGCATAGCTCAGACTCTCACCCTGAGAGTGCTTCTTTAGTTACCTGGCAGGCCAGAATTCTCCCCCTTCATTCTCCCAGCTTGTGTTCCCCACCAGCCACCCTTCCCTCAGGGTCCAGGCCCTCCCATACCCCAGCCCCAGCTTGCCTTCCACACCTGGTTTGAGCATGTTCAGTTTGCTGAAATTCATTTTCCAGGGTTTTCTGGTCACTGTGTCTTCATAGGGAGAGACATCCAGCTCATAGTCACCTAGAGACAAGGTGGGGAGCACCAGAATCCTGAGGATGGGGCTGGGGGTGGGAGCAGGAGGGGTTGAGGCTGCTGGAGAAAAAGAAGAGGCACAGTCTCTACCTAAATAGCTGCATGCTGGGCAGAGGAGAGAAAAAGAACAGGGCCATAAAGGTATAGGCTAGGCTTGACAAATAAACTGGGTTTAATGATAAGAATAATAAAGCTACTGTTTGTTGAGCACACTGTTTACTGGGCACTATGGTGCAAGTGGAAAAAATATATATATATACATACAATTTCACTTAGTCTTCATAGAAGTCTTTGGGTAGGTAAAAGGAAACTGAGGATAAGAGAGGTTAATTCACTTGCTCAAGTTCACATAAGCTAGTAAATGGAGCTGGGATTTGAAACCTGGATTACCTGACTTCAGAGTCTCTGCTCCTAACTACTACAAGTATCACCTGTGGGCACATAAGCAGGCAAGGGGACTCCGTCTTGTTTTCTTTTGCTATTGGAGAAGGGGCAGTAGTGGACTCTGTTCCAGGCCTGACCACTTGGCTATGGAGATGCATTGCCTGCTGAGGTGATGCAAATGAGACTAGATCTGGAACTGAACCTGACTGAGAAAAGCAGAGAAGGGAGAGAAATGATCTGAAAGGAAAGACATCTCTTTCAAACACCCCATGGGGCTGTGGGCTCCTTAAGACCTTATAAAATCACTAGGTCTTATAAAATCACTGCATACACAACACTGTTAACCAACTGTACTTCAGTTAAAAAAACAACATCACTGCATAGCTCATACACATGGTAGGTGCTCAATAAATGCTGAAGACAGAGGCGAGCTTGCAGGGATGTCACCCAAAAAAACAAGATCACTGCATAGCTCATACACATGGTAGGTGCTCAATAAATGTTGAAGACAGAGGTGAGCTTGCAGGGATGTCACCCAAAAAAACAAGATCACTGCATAGCTCATACACATGGTAGGTGCTCAATAAATGTTGAAGACAGAGGTGAGCTTGCAGGGATGTCACCCAATAGGCCTTTGTGAATATGTCTTTAGGCGGGAAGGGATATAGATGGTATCAAGCAAACAGGAAAGGATGGTTTGGATGCTTGGGAAGATCTGGGAGCTCCCAAGGGAAAAGAGGTGGAGACAAGAGGATTCAGGGAGAAGTCTCAGTGGAAGTTCTAAAAGAGAAGTGATTAGGATGAGTGGAAATCAGGGAACAAAGAGAGTTTGTTTCCAATTGCTTGCTGTTGGAGGATTATACAACCTCACCTGTTGCCTTGTGACTTTTAGGCCCCCTATGAAAGGACTGTACTTTCCCACGCTACTGTAAGGCTTGGCCATGTGACTTGCTTTGGCCTGTGGATTGGGAGCTAAAGAGGCATAATCACCTCTAGGTTTCAAGAACTATCATGTGGTCCTGCTTGGCTCTTTTCTATCTACCATCCTGGATCCTCAAATGAAGAAGGCAAGTGGAGCAAAGACAAAGCGAACTCATGGGACTTCCCTGGTGGCGCAGTGGTTAAGAATCCTCCTGCCAATGCAGGGGACACGGGTTCAATCCCTGGTCCAGGAAGGTCCCACATGCCGTGGAGCAACTAAGCCCGTGCGCCACAACTACTGAGCCTGCGCTCTAGAGCCCGCGAGCCACAACCACTGAAGCCCGCATGCCTAGAGCCCGTGCTCCACAACAAGAGAAGCCAGTGCAATGAGAAGCCCGCGCACTGCAACGAAGACCCAATGCAGCCAAAAATTAATAAATAAATAAATAAATTGTCCTCCAAAGCCAACTCATGGAAGCCCACAGCAGATGTGTAACATGAACAAAAGATATATTTTTGTTGGTGAAAGCCAGAGATTTGGGGTTGGTTGCATAATTTAGCACATTCTTATTAAAAATGTAATTGGTCATATAATGGAATCTAAAAAAGTAAAATGGTTCTGATGCACCTAGGGGCAGGATAGGAATAAAGACGCAGACATAGAGAGTGGACTTGAGGACACGGGGAGGAGGAAGGGTAATCTGTGATGCAGTGAGAGAGTAGCATTGACATATATACACTACCAAATGTAAAATAGCTAGCTAGTGGGAAGCAGCTGCATAGCACAGGGAGATCAGCTCGGGGCTTTGTGACCACCTGGAGGGGTGGGATAGGGAGGGTGGGAGGGAGACGCAAAAGGGAGGGGATATGGGGATATATGTATACATATAGCTGATTCACTTTGGTATACAGCAGAAACTAACATAACATTGTAAAGCAATTATACTCCAATAAAGATGTTAAAAAATGTAATTGGTATCTAGAAATGGAGTGCTGAAGTAACAAAAAAGGATCTAAAATAAATGGTATTGGCTTTGGGACTAGGTAGTGGGTGGTGAATAAGCTGTTACTGGGGGCTGGGAAGATGGCAGCCCTCATTATGCAGCGGCAAAGCATTTGGTAAAATTGTTGCCTGCAATAACTTGGGAGGAAGATGATGTACTGAGTGAGCTTGTGCTTTAAGGGGAAGAAGCTGAGAAGCTGAAGATTACTAATATGTCTTGATTGCTGATAGCCACACTTGGCATGGTACTACGAGAAAGATATAAGCTCAGAGAACTGACCAGTTTACACACAGAGAGGAAACAGAAAAGAAAGAATACAGAAATTCTAGGACCTGCAAAATTAAGAAATGCTACTCCTTCTCATATTCAAATAGTAAAAGGTAAAATTGAAAAATGCATTGAGTAATAAGGTCAATTACAACTCAGCCTTGGGCCAAAGACCAATTCAAGTTTGTGGCCATCATGCCCTTTGTGGAGATCTCTCACTGATTAAGACAGTATCCGATAAATCCTGCCTGTTGGACAAATGTTCTCAGGGAAAAAAGACTAAGATAGTGGCTCTCCCACAGAAGCTTGATAAGGGCAAGGTACCTCTAATTAGGTCTCAAAAGAGATGTATGTCTTGAAAGCGATTATAGGAAAGGCTACTGGCACATGAGGTGACAGAAATCAGACATAAAACGCAATTATGTTTTGAGAGAGTTGTACTGCTAAGAGCCACCAGCCCGGATTAAAAGAGACTCTAACTATTTGAGACTTAAGATGCTCCAACGTTCTTCAGGTAGGAAGCAAGTGGAGAATGCTACTCAGTCCCTAAGGAGGTCATAGTCTCCAGTGCCCTTTCCAGATGTAGCCCAAGAAAATAATGGAAAACGAAGGACCTCCCAGGGGGCTGGGAAACTCCTGGGCTTTTGCTCCCCAATGAGCAAAAGCAGGGCCTTATTAAAGAGCAATCCCTACTCCCAGGGAAGACAGCCCTTGCAACAATTGTGTGGCAGGACTTCAGAACTGCTATGAATCAACGTCTACTGTGTGCTTCCCATTACTCCTCTTTCTACCTGAGAGTTTGTTGTGCTTCTCCTGTCCCCATTCCATTACTATATATTGAGTAGAGATGGGAAGCGGATGACTTTTTAAAAAAAATTATTTATTTATCTGTATTTTTGGCTGTGTTGGGTCTTCATTGCTGTGTGCGGGCTTTCTCTAGCCGCAGAGAGAGGAGGCTACTCTTCATTGCGGTGCACAGGCTTCTCATTGTCGTGGCTTCTCTTGTTGCAGAGCATGGGCTCTAGGCGCACGGGCTTCAGAAGTGTGGCATGTGGGCTCTAGAGTGCAAGTTCAGTAGTTGTGGTGCATGGGCTTAGTTGCTCTGTGGCATGTGGGATCTTCCCAGACCAGGGCTCAAACCCCCGTCCCCTGCATTGGCAGGTGGATTCTTAACCATTGCGCCACCAGGGAAGCCCAGCAGATGACTTTTTAGTGCATAGGTTTCTAGATTAAGAGAAACCACATCCAGACCTGATATAGAAATTATCACAAGATCCTAGACTTGCAGCCTGATGTCCTGCTTAGATAGAATTCTTGGGCACCTTCCTTAGAAAGTGAGTAGTTATATTTTGCTTGTGAAAGGAAGGGAAATGAATGTTTTGACCAACTGGTGGACTATGGTAGATTGCATTATTGTTTACAATTATTTTTGTCCTCCCTGTAAGACTATACATCCTCATTTATTGCCATGTGATTTTCAGTGTCCCCTGTGGGAGGAGCATACTTCCCCTTCCCACTGATGTCAGGTCTGACCACGCGATTTGCTCTGTCAATGGAATGTGAGCAGAAGTATTTTATGTAACATCTGAGCAGAAGCTTTTAAAGGCATCAAATGGTTCTGCCATTGCTCATTTCCCTCTGCCATGAGAAGGGAACATCCCAGGTAGAGGCTGTACTGGATCCCAGAATGAAGAGGACACATGACACAGCCAAGACAGAGCATGAGCAAGAACTTAACCTTTGTTTTACAAGACCCTGTTGTGTTACTGCAGCACAGTCTAGTAAAAGCTGACTGATACGGAAGGGGATCTCCAGAGTCAGAGGAAGCTCCTCTCTTTGGCTCTTCCAGTACCTTCCGTCTTTTATCATCTCTTGTCTGGTTAATGAATATCCTCTCTGTTAAAGGCTGGACCAGGACACTGCCTCCCAGTCTCTCTGAACCTATGGATTATGTTGTATTTGCAGCCTGTTTATGAGTTAAGACCATTTCCCTCCATTTCCTCTCCATATCTGTCTGTTCCAGGAGCTCCCCATGTTGGGCCTTAGCCTGGTTCAGAGACCTTCCAAGAGGCAGCTACATGTTTCCAGATTAAAAAAAAAGGGGGAAGTAGTGAGAAGGGAGGGCAGTACTGTGGGGCCCAAAAGCATACTGCCAATTCCTCCTTCCATTTCTCACTGACGTCAAATGCAGAGCTTCATTATCATCCCTGTCAGAATCTACCATGCGGCCCATATCCAGCGGGATTAAAAAACAACTCCCAAGAGCCACCTTCCCTAGCTTAGCCCACTCTAGGATGGGGGCCTCACCAAGGCTACGGGCAGGGTGAACGGTCCAGTAGATGTCCAGGCAGGTAGCTTGGTTCTTCATGCGCCGATGGCATGTGCAGCTCATCAGAGAACTATTCCTGAGTTGCTGTGCTGCCTCCATGCAGTCCTCGGGGACTGAAGGCTCCTCTGCAGGTGATGAGGTGCTTATACTAGAGGCACAGGAATTCAAGTAGTGGTAGGTAGCATTGCAAGTGGGATCGGCCTGGCACTTCCTCCTGGCCTGGATACAGCTGTTCATGAGCCGGCCTTCTGTGGGGAGGTGGTCCCCTATGGAGGGAGAGAGACCAAGTGAGGCTCATATAAGGTCAGAGTAGCTGTCTGGGAGAACCTAGTCATAAGGTAGGGTGGGAAGATTCTGGATGAAATCTTTAGCAGGAAAGTCTTGGGGCGGCACAAAGGCCTTTAGCAGGGAGAAAGAAGTCCAGTAGGACTAGAGGGTCTGCAGCTGTCACAATATAGACAGAAGAGATCAGGCTCAAGAAGAGAGGGGGGTTTGATGAAGACAAGCTGCTCAGCCTCCTGGGAGGGGGAGGGGGACATTATTTGAAGCTGAGCCTGATGGCCCAGCCAGGCACTAGGAAGAGGGCCCTGAGCAGAGCTATGCCATGGACAGGGATTGCATCATAACCAGAGAGCTGAGAATGTGTATGGGAGTGCTAAATGACAGTTAGCAACAACTCTGAGTCTTCCATTAAAAGTCACTTAAGGGGGGCTTCCCTGGTGGCGCAGTGGTTGAGAGTCCGCCTGCCGATGCAGGGGACACGGGCCCATGTTGGGCCTTAGCCTGGTTCAGAGACCTTCCAAGAGGCAGCTACATGTTTCCAGATTAAAAAAAAAGGGGGAAGTAGTGAGAAGGGAGGGCAGTACTGTGGGGCCCAAAAGCATACTGCCAATTCCTCCTTCCATTTCTCACTGACGTCAAATGCAGAGCTTCATTATCATCCCTGTCAGAATCTACCATGCGGCCCATATCCAGCGGGATTAAAAAACAACTCCCAAGAGCCACCTTCCCTAGCTTAGCCCACTCTAGGATGGGGGCCTCACCAAGGCTACGGGCAGGGTGAACGGTCCAGTAGATGTCCAGGCAGGTAGCTTGGTTCTTCATGCGCCGATGGCATGTGCAGCTCATCAGAGAACTATTCCTGAGTTGCTGTGCTGCCTCCATGCAGTCCTCGGGGACTGAAGGCTCCTCTGCAGGTGATGAGGTGCTTATACTAGAGGCACAGGAATTCAAGTAGTGGTAGGTAGCATTGCAAGTGGGATCGGCCTGGCACTTCCTCCTGGCCTGGATACAGCTGTTCATGAGCCGGCCTTCTGTGGGGAGGTGGTCCCCTATGGAGGGAGAGAGACCAAGTGAGGCTCATATAAGGTCAGAGTAGCTGTCTGGGAGAACCTAGTCATAAGGTAGGGTGGGAAGATTCTGGATGAAATCTTTAGCAGGAAAGTCTTGGGGCGGCACAAAGGCCTTTAGCAGGGAGAAAGAAGTCCAGTAGGACTAGAGGGTCTGCAGCTGTCACAATATAGACAGAAGAGATCAGGCTCAAGAAGAGAGGGGGGTTTGATGAAGACAAGCTGCTCAGCCTCCTGGGAGGGGGAGGGGGACATTATTTGAAGCTGAGCCTGATGGCCCAGCCAGGCACTAGGAAGAGGGCCCTGAGCAGAGCTATGCCATGGACAGGGATTGCATCATAACCAGAGAGCTGAGAATGTGTATGGGAGTGCTAAATGACAGTTAGCAACAACTCTGAGTCTTCCATTAAAAGTCACTTAAGGGGGGCTTCCCTGGTGGCGCAGTGGTTGAGAGTCCGCCTGCCGATGCAGGGGACACGGGTTCATGCCCCGGTCCGGGAAGATCCCATATGCTGTGGAGCGGGTGGGCCCGTGAGCCATGGCCGCTGAGCCTGCGCATCCGGAGCCTGTGCTCCGCGACAGGAGAGCCCACAACAGTGAGAGGCCCGCGTACCGCAAAAAAAAAAAAGTCATTCTCTGGCAGTCCAGTGGTTAGGACTCGTCACTTTCACTGCCGGGGCTCAGGTTCAATCTGTGGTCAGGGAATGAAAATCCTACAAGCTGCGCAGTGCGGCAAAAAAAAAAGTCACTTAAAAATACCTTACAGTGGGAACTGGTTGGGGTTGGGGTGGGGGGCTTTTACAGATTCTGTCACTCACTCAGGAATATCAAGGTTGGTTATAGTTCAGCTCTGGAGAAAGGCCCTGCACCCTAGGACTTAGGGTCCCAATCAAGTGGTAATAGCACACCATCATCCCCCAGTTTTTCAAGGCAGAACATCTAGGAGTCATTTTGAATTCTTCTCTTTCCTTCACATTCTATGTTCAACCCAATAAGTCCTGTCAACTCCACTTCATATCTGGAATCTGTCCACTTCTCTCCACATCTATCACCACCTCCTTAGCTCAAGCCACCATCAACTCTTGTCTGAACTAGTTGACAGTCCTTATTGGTCTCAGTGATTCCACCTTCCAAATTCATTCTACCATACCATTCAGCGATCTTTTTTTGTTTTCCAGCTTTATGGAGATATAATTGACATACAACATTGTTTAAGCTTTAGGTATACAACATGATGATTTATGTATATATTGTAAAATGTTACCATAATAAGATTAGACGTGTTAACAATAAGATGTGTTAAAATGAACACATCCTTCACTTCACATAATTACCTTTCTTTTTGTTGTTGCATTCATCTTTTTTAAGAATTTTTTTAGGTTGGAAAACATTTTTATTGGGGTAAAATTCATGCCTGGTGATCATTCTGAAATGTATAGAAATAGCAAATCACTATGTTGTACACCAGGAACATAGTACTGTAGTTCAATTATACTTCAAAAACAAACTCCTAGGAAAAGAAATCAGATTTGCAGTTACCAGAGGCAGAGGGTGGGGAGGGAGAACTGGATGAAGGTAGTCAAAAGGTACAAACTTTATTTTTTTTTAATTATTTTTTAAACATCTTTATTGGAGTATAATTGCTTTACAATGGTGTGTTAGTTTTTGCTTTATAACAAAGTGAATCGAATCTACATATACATATGTTCCCATATCTCTTCCCTCTTGCGTCTCCCTCCCTCCCACCCTCCCTATCCCACCCCTCTAGGTGGTCAAAAGCACTGAGCTGATCTCCCTGTGCCATGCGGCTGCTTCCCACTAGCTATCTATTTTACGTTTGGTAGTGTATATATGTCCATGCTACTCTCTCACTTTGTCACAGCTTACCCTTCCTCCTCCCCATATCCTCAAGTCCATTCTCTAGTAGGTCTGTGTCTTTATTCCCATCTTACCCCTAGGTTCTTCATGACCTTTCTTTTTTTTTTTTCCTTAGATTCCATATATATGTGTTAGCATACGGTATTTGTTTTTCTCTTTCTGACTTACTTCACTCTGTATGACAGACTCTAGGTCCATCAACCTCACAACAAATAACTCAATTTCGTTTCTTTTTATACAAACTTCATTTTAAAAAGAGAAAGAAAAAAATTCATGCAACATAAAATTAATTATCTTAAAGGGTACAGTTAAGTGGCATTTAGTACATTCACCATGCTATACAACCATCACTTCTAATTCCAATTCATTTTCATCACCCTAATAGGAAGCCCATACCCATTAAACAGTCACTCTCCATCCTCCCTTTCCCCTAGTCTCTGGCAACCACTAGTCTGCTTTCTGTCTCTACACATTTACCTATTCTAGTATTTCATGTAAATAGAACCATAAAATATATACTCTTTTGTATCTAGCTTCTTTCACCCAACATGCTGTTTTCAAGGTTCATCCACATTGTGGCATATATCAATATTTCATTCTTTCTTATGAATAATATTTCATTGTATGGATATATCATATTTTGTTTACCTAAACGTTAGTTGATGTACATTTGGGTTGTTTCACCTTTTGGTTATTGTGAACAGTGCTAAGGGAAGAATCATGTACAAGTATTTGCTTGAATACCTGTATTCATTTCTCTTGGGTGTATACGCAGGAGTGGAATTGCTGGGTCATATGTTAATTCTATGTTTAACTTTTTGATGAACCACCAAATTGTTTTCCACAGTGGCTGTCCCATTTTACATTCCTACTAGCATTCTTCATGATTCTTTTTTTTTTTTCCTTAGATTCCATATATATGTGTTAGCATACGGTATTTGTTTTTCTCTTTCTGACTTACTTCACTCTGTATGACAGACTCTAGGTCCATCAACCTCACAACAAATAACTCAATTTCGTTTCTTTTTATACAAACTTCATTTTAAAAAGAGAAAGAAAAAAATTCATGCAACATAAAATTAATTATCTTAAAGGGTACAGTTAAGTGGCATTTAGTACATTCACCATGCTATACAACCATCACTTCTAATTCCAATTCATTTTCATCACCCTAATAGGAAGCCCATACCCATTAAACAGTCACTCTCCATCCTCCCTTTCCCCTAGTCTCTGGCAACCACTAGTCTGCTTTCTGTCTCTACACATTTACCTATTCTAGTATTTCATGTAAATAGAACCATAAAATATATACTCTTTTGTATCTAGCTTCTTTCACCCAACATGCTGTTTTCAAGGTTCATCCACATTGTGGCATATATCAATATTTCATTCTTTCTTATGAATAATATTTCATTGTATGGATATATCATATTTTGTTTACCTAAACGTTAGTTGATGTACATTTGGGTTGTTTCACCTTTTGGTTATTGTGAACAGTGCTAAGGGAAGAATCATGTACAAGTATTTGCTTGAATACCTGTATTCATTTCTCTTGGGTGTATACGCAGGAGTGGAATTGCTGGGTCATATGTTAATTCTATGTTTAACTTTTTGATGAACCACCAAATTGTTTTCCACAGTGGCTGTCCCATTTTACATTCCTACTAGCAATGCATGAGGGTGGTTCCAATTTCTCTACGTACTTGCCAACTCGTGTTTTCTGTTTTTTGCTCTGTTTTTAGAGTCATCCTTGTGGGTGTGAGGTAGTATCTCACTGTGGTTTTCACTTGCATTTCTCTAATAACTAATGATATTGAGCATATTTTCATGTGTTTGTTAGCCATTTGTATATCATGTTTGGTAATAAATTAATTAAAGTATGTAACATACAGAAAAATACATAAATCAAAAATATATAGTTTAATTTCAAATTATATACACCTGTATAACCAGATCCCCAGGTAAAGAACCAGAACATTACCAGCACCCCAGAAGCCATCTGCCAGTCACCATATTCCCAACAAAGCAAATATAATACAATATCCTGATTTCTAAAGATTAGCAATTTGTTTTGCCTGTTTTTCAATCATACAACATGTGCTTTTGGCGTTTTAGCTTCTTTTGCTCAATATTACGTTTCTGAAATTCACCCACACTGATAAGTATAGTTGTAAATAGCTTATTTTCACTGCTGTATACCAATCCATTGTGTGAATATAACATAATTCTAATACTGACTAGCATTATATGGGATCATCTCTTAAAAACTGTAAATCAGATGGTCTCATTTCTCTGCTTAAATCCCTCCAACAGCTTCCACTGAACTTAGGTTAAGATCTAGTTTATGTGCCTTGGTTTACAAAACCTTGTAAAGACCTGGTCCCTGCCCACCTCTCTAATCTTACCTCCTGCTCTGTCTTCCTCTCCCACTTCCCTCCATCTGCACTGGCCTTCCTTCTGTTTTGAATACTCTTCCACCTGATCTTCACATGGCGTGTCATCTCACAAAGGCCATCCCCAACCAACCAATGTAAAATAGCCCCCCAGCTACTCTAACACACTGTTGTTCCAATTCTCTGCATAGCACTTATCACCATTTGATTTTTTTTTTTTTTTTTTGCGGTACGCGGGCCCCTCACTGTTGTGGCCTCTCCCGTTGTGGAGCACAGGCTCCCGACGCGCAGGCACAGCGGCCATGGCTCACGGGCCCAGCCTATCCGCGACACGCTGGATCCTCCCGGACCGGGGCACGAACTCGCGTCCCCTGCATCGGCAGGTGGACTCTCAACCACTGCGCGACCAGGGAAGCCCAACCACTTGATATTTTTTTACTTCATTTTTTATTATCTCCCCAGCTAGACTTCCATGTCTATCTTATCACTACTCTGTTGCCAGTGCCTAGAACAGGGCTTGTTTTTTGTAAGCACCTACTAATATTTTTTAAATGACCACATAACAGAGACATTTTGTGAGCCACCCTGATAACTTCTCTGGGCCCCTTCTCTCTACTTATAATCAAAGAGTCCCAAAATTAGGAGGGGCCTCTGAGTTTAGGTAGTCCAACCTTCTCTTCCAATCACATAATAATCGATTAGATTACTTATTAAAATGCAGATTTCTGAGCCCTAGCACGAACTACCAAATCAGAACCTCTGGTGATAAAGCCTGGGAATCTGAATTTTAGTAAGTTTACTGGAGAGAATGATGTAACCTAAAGTTTGAGAATTGGTGCCACATCCAATGTGTAAAAAAAGACAGGATCAGTAGTACTGATTTTTCCTTTTGCTTCAGGTTCCAATATGCCTCAGCATGGCATTATTACTCTTTTAATTTAAAATTTTGGTATTTTGTTCATAATGGATTTTTGGTATTAATTTTGATTTTTAAAAAGGGGGTTGGATTAAACCAGAGTTTCTCAATGCACGGGATGGGGAAGAGAGAGGATGGGCCCCTTTTGGGGGTGTATCAGAATTTCCAAAGGGAATGTGTGGTTCAAAAAAGCATATTTACAGACCTACTAGAGAATGGACTTGAGGATATGCGGAGGGGGAAGGGTAAGCTGGGACAAAGTGAGAGAGTGGCATGGACATATATACACTACCAAACGTAAAACAGATAGCTAGCGGGAAGCAGCCACATAGCACAGGGAGATCAGCTCGGTGCTTTGTGCCCACCTAGGGGGATGGGATAGGGAGGGTGGGAGGGAGGGAGACGCAAGAGGGAAGAGATATGGGGACATATGTATATGTATAACTGATTCACTATGTTATAAAGCAGAAACACACCATTTTAAAGCAATTATACTCCAATAAAGATGTTAAAAAAATCACATAAAAAAAGCATATTTGTCAATTTCATATGTGGAAGATGAACAAAAAACTTTTTTTAATGCAACTAGTTTTTTTATTAAACTTTTTATTTTATATTGGAGTATAGTTGATTAACAATGTGTTAGTTTCAGGTGTACAGCAAAGTGATTCAGTTATACACATACATGTATCTAATCTTTTTTTTTTTTTTTTTTTTAATAATACACAATGTATTTATTTATTTATTTATTTATGGCTGTGTTGGGTCTTCATTTCTGTGCATGGGCTTTCTCTAGTTGTGGCAAGTGGGGGTCACTCTTCATCGCGGTGCGCAGGCCTCTCACTATCGCGGCCTCTGTTGTTGCGGAGCACAGGCTCCAGACGCGCAGGCTCAGTAATTGTGGCTCACGGGCCCAGTTGCTCCATGGCATGTGGGATTTTCCCAGACCAGGGCTCGAACCTGTGTCGTCTGCATTGGCAGGCAGATTCTCAACCACTGCGCCACCAGGGAAGCCCCATGTATCTATTCTTTTTCTAATTCTTTTCCTATTTAGGCTGTTAAATAATACTGAGCAGAGTTCCCTGTGCTATACAGTAGGTCCTTGTTGGTTATCCATTTTAAATATAGCAGTGTGCACATGGCAATCCCAAACTCCCTAACTATTCCTCCCTCCAGCCCTTCCCACCTGCTAACCATCAGTTCGTTCTCTAAGTCTATGAGTCTGTTTCTGTTCTGTAAGTTCATTTGTATCATTAAAAAAAATCTGAAATTTCAAAATTTATTTAAGGAAGACATGAGATTTTTATCTTTATCAAAAGGGGGACATGGATTTAAACAGTTTGAGAAATGCTGAATGTTTAAGATATTACTTCTGGTAGGTACCCAGAAAGTGCTTGCTGAAAGAAACGTAGCAGGTCCAAGTCTCATTGCTTTAACTGGACTAAATATTGAGTTGTAACAATTTTCAAAGTAAACCTCTCTCACTTCTAAGCTGACAGTTCACCAAGTCTGAGTAGTAGTAGATTTAAGGGCATTGCAGCTCAACAAAAGAAGGTGGGGGTCATGTTAAGTTTCATCATTAGCAGGTGGTAACTTGTTCCACTAAATTGGTCATGAGGAAGGTATTTAAAGTTTACCCCTGATCCTGAAATACAGCCTACTGTTAGGGTTAGTGAAATTTCCTGGGCAGTCCAATCAGATAGGTAATGTCTTGCTGCTCTGATTTACTAATGAAGTCAGTCTGGACAGACCAGTACTTTCCTTCCTTCCTTCCATATCTGTCTCTCAGCCAAGATTGCACTTCTGCAGTCCTACTTTGTGGACTGAGGTCATGTGTAGATATGTGGTCTCTGACTCACGATTCCCTCCAGGCAGGCTCTGGACAGGAGCCCCACAATGAGATTCCATGCACCCATCCCACTCCCAAAGGCCACGTGCATGCTCCTTGGGAGAATGGCATAGTTCTAAAACCCGGCCTTTAACTATGTATTCCACAAAACACCTATTGTGGATTTATAACAGGGCAAGGCACTGTTGCTGGGCAGCTTGCACGGAAAGGCCATCTTGCCCACTAGTGAGTTTTCCCCTCCAATTTAAATAATAATAAAGTATATCCTGAAGAGGGGGTTTGTTGATGGTGAGCGATACTCTCAACCACACAACCAAATAATGATGTTGGCAAGTTCTGGGAAGCAGTTTTCAACCTTAATTTGTGACGTCAGTTGTGTTTGTTTGTTTTTTCCGTGAAAGTGCAGAGTGCTAACCACTGGACAGCCAAGGAGTTCCCAATGACAAGTCAGTCCTAACAAAAACTTCTCCAGCTTCACCTGTACCTAGTATCCACTTCCGCAGTCCTTACATGGGGTGGAAGAGGTGAAGCCCATGTGGAGCAAAAGGCAGTCCTGCTTCTGCTTCTGACTCTCCCCGCCCCCTAGATATGCTGTAGTGGTAGTGGCCTAGCTGCTGGCTGTTCTGTGACTGTACAGACGCACTTCAAACGGGGGAAGAGGGGGAACGAGGAGCGAAGAGATGCTTGGGTGCCCTGGTCATGGCTGGCACTCAATCTACAAGTTCAGTCACTGGACTAGGGGTGGAACCCAGCCCCTTCTTGAAACCCTGGGCTTCCTCCTCCAGTTCCCCAGGCTCGGACAGACGGACGCCCCGCACCAGGCAGCAATGTGGGGCACTGGTGCCGGGACCCCACCTACACGGTCACCACCACCACTCACCACCACCCCAGCCCCCGCCCCCTCCCGCCCCAGCCGGAGTGGACTCCGCGGACGCACAGACGAGACTCACCCGCTCGGAGCAGCAGCGGCAGCAGCAGCAGGAGTGCAGGCAGCATTGGTCGTGGGCTCGGGGGGCGCGCCATTGGCGGGG